AAAAAAAAAAAAAAAAGGATGGTCAAGACCCAGTGAATAGTTATAAATTTGTATGTAAATTTTCATGGGGGAATAAAAGCAACATGGAATTGACAGAGAGCAACATGTTCGGAACTCCAAATGGAAGCATGGCACACAAATGACTGTGGGGCCTGTCAGATGGGACCCTCCCCAGGGGCAGGAACCTGGAGCCTAAGGGGAGGAGACAGAAAATAAAAACCAACAAGGAAGCGAACTGAGCTGAGTGCTGAGCGCGTCCACTAAAGGACTCCCACAAGAAGACTCGCCCCAAAAGCTACCCAGAGAAAATTTCAAATTACAAATTTAAAGGGAAAAAGCCTTGCTGCCAAGGTCCAAAAATAAAAACAAATATGAGGAGACTCAGGTTGATAGTAAGCAAAGGCACAATGTTTACAGGGCGGAGAAAAAAGGTGCTAAGAACCTCAGGGTGGGCCCTCCCTGGGGGCACGGCAGGCTGTGAGCTGGCCACAGCCCCTGCAGCACGAGTCCATCCCCGGCCAGGGAGTGACCCGCAGCGCGCCACAGACCTCTCCCGTCTCCCCGCGGCTCCCCTCAGCAGTGGGTTTCAGTCCATCTGCCTGTTCTGCTCCCCACTCTGACTCTGGGGAACCCTCTCACCGCCCCTGCCCCTCTGGCCTGTTCCCCAGTTCTGTATGCGTCAATAAGTAAACCTTTACAAAAATTAAAAAAAAAAGAACTTCATGAAGCTTCTGTATGTGAGACACAATAATTATCAAGAAGATAGTAATGTAATTCGGAGCTACTGAACACTCCCTACACCTTTCCCCGAGCTCTTGCTGTGCTGAACCCCATTTCCCAGCTGAGGGAGTTGGCCGATGTGGTAAGGTGGTGGGGGGAGCCGGGGCTAGAGCGATGCAAGGAAAAAACTCTCAGTAAGAAAACATTCAGAAACGGAGTGCAAACACTAAAAATGTCAAGTGAATTTTGGTTGCTTTTGAAATAGGTGGAAGACAATGTATCTAAAATCAAGCTTTAACCACAATCTTCCCGGAAAATCCCAGGGTGGAAAACAAAATGAAAAGGGCGTGAGTATAAGCTGAGCATCTCAAAGTGTCAAACAACCCATGAGAATGTTCTTAACTTGGAACGATTAGCACAAGATTCCAGAGAATATTTTTGAAAAGCTAGAGACTGACAGTTGGCTTCCGGCCAGAGAACGGGAGATAAAAAGCCCTGACCCAGAATCCCTGGGCCAGCCAGTCCAGAAAGCCAGAGCACGGCTTGTGCAACCACTGGCCCAGCATGAGCCTGGTTCAACGACGGCCAACAGCCGCGTCCTCACTGCGGACCGCGGAGTCGAGAATCACTTGCCATCATCGAACAAGAACACAATGTAAGTGATAGTGAGAACCAGGATAAACACGGTGGACGCGGGTGCAGCCAGCCTGGACCAAGGGGCAGGGGCCGAAGACTCCGCAGGGCAGCAGGTGGGGTCGCCTGTGCCGTGCTGGCCGGGGGGGAGACGCCACACAGTCCCTCGCCTGAGACCAGGAGCCGGTCACTGGCGGGAGGAGACACGACGCCGCTAACAGCTCCGCACATGGCCACGGAGCCCCCAGACGCACATGCACGTGTAGGGACCTGGGAGTCCTTGATTTAATCGAATAAAACAAGGATGGGGCGCTGAATGGGGAGACGAGCGCAGGACCCTTGAGGTGGACCCAGGAGCGGCTTTCTGCACCCCAAGGTCGGAAGCTGCAGTGAGACAGAAAGTCCCTGGAGTGATGACTCGTAAAAACACGAGCGTCCTCTTCACCACCCCCGGCACCCCGAGTCCCGCACAGACTGCTGGATGCACCCCCCCCCCCCTCACCTTGCCTGGACTCGGCTACTCCTGTCCCGTCCCGGGAGCACAGTGAGGCCGGCATACCGAGGTCACCTCGACTCCCCGAAATCACATTAGCCATCGGGGCTGGTTAAAAAGCAATCACAGTAGCCCACAGGAAATGACAATGGACTGCGACTAACACAGAGAAAACAATTACCATAATCAATACACTCGGGCACATCACGGTGAATATTTCCACATGTCAAAATGGTTCCAGACCCACAAAGCAGCCAAACTAAACGGAAAACACATTTAGTTTTCATAATGATGCGGCGTGTGTCTGTGCCGTCTGTGGTCCTCGCCTCTTTCCTTCAACTTCTGTGAGGTTTTTGCCTTTCAAAGGCGGGATTTTAAAAAATTTTAATTTTTTTCACCTGGCCCTCTATGCTCCACGTGGCGTTTTCATCTGATTTTAGTTTGTTTGTTTCGCGTCTCTCCGCCGCTCCCGGCTCCTCCTCGGCCTCCTGTGATTTATCTTGGCCCTCCCTTCTCCTCCGCTGCGTTTACACTTTACTTTAATTCAGCCTGGCTTTGATTCGGCTCACTTACGGGCTTAGTCTCCACACATGTCCAGTCTCTCTCCTCAGCGCCTTCCCTTCACTTCAAATAATTTAGTGCTGTTCTTTTAAAATTTATACCCTACATAACGACATCCACATTAATGCCTCTCTCTTCCCCACTTCTTTTTTTTTTACTTCCCTTACCCTGACTGTGCTTTCTTAGATACAACATAAAACAAAAGTCTTTCA